TTTTTCGCTCCTCATTTTTATACCCATTACTATTCGCTACGTGACATTATTCTACGCCCCAAAACATATTGTATACATATGTATATATATATATATATATATATATATATATATATACATATGATAAGCATGAAGCTTTATATTTCTATATTTTTTCCATTCTATTTTACTCTCTTTTTTCCTTTTATTTTTTATTTTTTTTTAATTGAGTTTTCCAATTCTCTGATTTACGTAGTAGTCATCGATAAATCTTTAAAAATGTACGAAATTGAATCACAAAAGTTGGCATTCATACGTATGTTCCGCACATACATTACGTTATATAGATAAAGTATAGTTTATATTTTATACATATGCAGTGTCATCAATTCACGCAGTATCAAAAATTGAATATTAGTCTGCATTCTAAATATTAAACTAAACAATTTTAAGTTTGAAAAACAATTACTGTTGTTGAAAGCATAACGAGCTATTATAATGGTGTTCGTGCCGTAAAAGTGGAACATTAAAAACTTATGAAGAGATAATTTTCTCCTAACAAACGGACAAATACAATTTAAAGTCAGTACACCTCGACGCAACAAAAAAAAAAAATATCCATCAGTATAGGTGTTGACGTAGAATTTATTCGTTTAAGTGAAATTTCAATGTGTATTTAATTACGAAAATGGTCTGCTATTACAATTAAAATGGCGAATCTACGTAGAAAAGAACCATAACAAAAAAATAAAAATAAAAAGAATATTTGAGAAGCATAAAATGACAGTCAAAATGCATGTAGTACTCGCTAGTGTTAACCTGAGATTTGATTTGAAGAAAACAACTGTCAGGAATCGTTTGAATTTGATTCGAAGTATAGTAAAAAAATATGTTAATATGTTTCTTTTTTAAGTCGAACCAGCTTTTATGCAAATTTAATGCGACTAGCATCGTTTATCAATGAATTCGTTTTTTTTTTTTTTTTTTGTTTCACAGAAATAAGTCGCATTAAGTTTACATTACTTATGAAAAATGATCGTAATATTTGACGATAAATACAAAAATAATTAAATATGCATTATCTGATTACAGTGAGTGCTTTCACTAAATATAACATAAAGTGTTAGAAAACATTTTATTTTATTAGTGATAAATACAACATTTTAAGTATAACTGTTTTCACCGTTTTTAAAATACTTATTATTATTTATTTATTTATTTATATATTTTTGAATGAAAATTAACAGATCAGTGGCGGTTCGTGATTTAGTATACAGGAGCACGCGAACCACCCGAAATATTATAAAAAAATGTATTTGACTTCTATAGTAAATTATAATCGGTTATTATGGACATATTCTATAATTGACAAAAATATTTTTTGCAGCTTTTTGTGTTGGAAAGTGCGTCTATTAGCCATTAAACAAACCGGGCGGCCATATAAAAGTTAGCTGTATACGTAGACACGTCGGTTAGTTAGTACACGGTCGTTTAGAATACAATCGATGTGCGCCGATCGTCGAAATAAGATTTTGTGTTTATGTCTGGTACGTAATGAGTTATTTTTCCAATTTAATTTTATTTTATCGTGAGACAAAGAGCTTGGGGAACTCAAAAAAATTATACGTTGATAAATGCGTTAAGTGTACCCGTAACTATGATAAAATTAATATTTCTTTTACTCACCTACACAGGTACCTTACAAATTATTTGTGCACCACGTTATGTGAATCTCACGAGCTGCAACCGTAACAGATTACAACGTGTTTTGCATGTTCCTATACAATAACAACAATAATGATGATATACTGGTCGGGCACTGAGCTATAATGTTGAAAAGAAAAAATATGATAATAATGGTGGGTGGTGATGAGTAATAATGAAAAAATTAAAATAAAACCACAAATGATTTATCACGGTGGGGCGCTGCGAGCGTGAAAACTTTCTGGTTAGACTTTTTTCGCGAAACAGATACTATAAGGTTTTTGTGCGCGTGCATTAAACAACCATGGGACATCATACCTGGGCCAAAAAAGTTCTACGTGCGTGCTGGTTCGGCGGGAGAATATTAATTTACGAGAAACGTCTGCAGCACGCGCGCGCGTCCGGGGGCAGGGGGATTTTTTTCACGTGCTCCGACCGTTGTAAAGTATTTGAGTAGGGATCGAAATGACCTATACATGCATACGCGCGATTCAGGTTAAATTTTTTGGCGGTGCCAAGTTAATGTCGATCAAAATTATCCAAGCACACCGATGACGTATGGATTAGCCGTGCAGATGGTATTAAAAATTTAGGTATACTAAGCACACCCCCCAAGCACCTCCTCCGAGAACACGCCCCCCCCCATTTGAATAATAACACACAATATTATCTGATATGCGATGCGACCCGCCGCCTGTCGGTTGTCAGTGGTAAACGGACGTTGTATATGTTTGCAGCTTTTTTGAAAAGCGATACTCTTACACGATAATATACTTTTAAATCGTCTTTCCTGTGGTGAATATTATACTTTTGGAAACACAATGTTCGCCGAATATTTTCTCGGTATTCCCACCCTACCACACAATTGTCTGAGCTATCGCTTACGACCTCAGGCGTAATATATAATTTCCTTTGCACACACACACATGCATAAAAAACGATACCATATTATGTTTCGGCGTGTAAATGATTTCCCTTAGGTGAGGATTTCCCTTTCACTTAGTTTTAATAATTCGAAAAAAGTCCATTGAAAATCATCTAATTGAATTGTATTTAAATTCATTCTATGGTTATTTTTTTTTCGTTTGATTTTAATTTTTCAGATTGGTTAAATTGACAAAATAAAATAACTTAAAATTTTAATTAATTAATTACGAAATACACTCTATATCTTATGTATTTTTCTTGGGTCAAACATCACTTGGGCAGAGACATATTAAACCATTAATTATAAAATTCAGAATCATATGAATGTTTAGCATGTCTTTTCATCACGAGTTAATATTTATAAAACAATTTCACTTGAGCTTAATTAGTTGGAATTTCAATGAGAAATTTTAGAAAAAGTGAGTACGTCATCCAAACATTCTATATTTATTATGAACATAAAACCTTATATTAGAGATTCTTCATAGTTAGTTAAATATTTGTCCTTCATTTATTCATTTATTTATTTTTTTATTTAAAAGAAAATTTATAATCTGTACAAAAACGATAACAATGAACAAATCAATAACAAAGATTAAATATTCAGGAATTACATGTTGAGGAAGCAACTCATTTACCAATGAGTTGCTTTAAACTCATGTTTAATTAATTTAATAATTGATCTATACGCCATTTTCACTTTAGTTTGCGCATTGGGTTTTTCGGTGGAGTGATAGTGGACATAAACGACATAAGTATGTTACAATAGTGCTTAAATTTCGATGGAAGCACTTGTGCATTGTTTTGACTAGTTTAGTGGCAGTACTTAGTTTTAAGTCATTGTTTAGTAAAAGGTTTGAAACGTACTAAGGAGTGTGTATTAGTAGCCTCAACGAAATTGATTGAAATGTCTGGATTGGATTCCATTATTACGATTGCATAGGACCAAACTGGCTTTATTATTATTATTTAATGTGAAGTGCCGATATAATTAAATTATATACTTAAAACACGTACTTTATTTTATTAAATACAAAAATAATTAACTGTAAATATTGAAAGTCGATGTTCATACTATGATTGTACTCTTTATAATCAATAATATATTCTAGTATCTGTTTTGTGATAAAATTAAATGGTATACAGGAAGTAATTAAAATATATCGCGTCAATAATACATAAATATAATATTATCTAAAAGTGGCACCTGTCGACAATTATTATTATTCATTATTTATAATGAATATTATAAATATTATATTATATTATTATTATATAATTATATATATATATATATATAATTATTATATTATTATTATTATTATACTATAATATTATAAGAGAAAAAACCGTAGAAGGAATGAATATAAATAGAGAATAATATATATGGAGACTAAAAATAGGACAAATCGAAATTAATTAAAAGGATTATTACAGATAAGATTCAAATATTACTAAAATTCAGTGAATAGTACTAATGAATTTCGAAAAAAAAAAAGCTTATACCTTTCAAAACGATACCTATTAAGTATTTGACGTTTTCCGATGATGATTTGGACGAACTCTGGTTAAATTTAGTATAAAACGAAAAACTTTGAAAAATTATTATTGATGATGGCTTATCATGTACCAATTGACATCCATCAATTATATTTATACGTTACATTTTAATAAATTGTTTTCAATCCGTAGAATTTTTTTAACCATCACAAACCAGTACATATTGAATACATGTTGTATTGTACATTATTATATAAATTGTGGTTATTGATACAATATTGATATTTGAATATTTCTTTGAAAATGTTTGTAATAATTTATTTTCTCTAATACATTCGATCCAATAATGATTGATGTACAATTTAATTTTATATATTATTTATTTATTTATATTTTATATATTTGAAAATTTAATATACATCAAATTTAAGCATCTGTTAGTCAATTTTTGTTGTTAATAAAGATTGAAAAACGTGAAAATTATAGTAATATACCGAATATGAAAATCCACCTGAATATTTCATCGTGTTTTATAATTTTAATTTAATTTTAAATTAAAAACAAAATATTATAAACATACTATTCAAACCCGTTCGATAATATATTTTATAAATAGTAATTTAAAAAAAATAACTGTATTTTTGATATGCTATATGTTCATTGAAATTACATTCTACGAAAAGTTGTTAAATTATCGAAGACAACTGTTTTGAACCATAAAAGATACAAATTTTATAGTTCGATATTACCTGACCGGGATAATTAACATTCGAAAAATTTATTTTTCTAGTTTTAAACTATAATATATACTGTATCAAATATTACGATAATTCAGATCAAAATATTTACTTATACCATCTTAGTCTCAAACATCTTACATAAGTGCTTACCTTCAAAATTATATTTTTCCTTTGTCCTGGTTTTGTTTTCAATAATATTCCTTCCTCCGTCTCATTGTGTAATGTTGAATCCTTTTCAAAATCCGCCCCTGTTGGCAAAATATTTTTTGTTCAATTTTAAATGTGTACCTTACTCATAGAATATTTTCATTTTTTCACATAAGTGTAACGAAATTCTTGATATATGTGCACTTATACTGTATGCATTTATTGAACGGGGAAAACAATATAATCTATCCTGCAAAGTCCTTCAATTTTGAACAATCATTAATCTCGATTAACGTAGACTCCCAAACGTTTTCCCACCCGAACAGTTTTCGGGTATTTTAACAAAATACCCTTCTCTTCACTGAAAGGAGTGCCTCACTAGCCGTTGTCTCGGCCTTGCCTTTGCGATGCCACACCAAAAGGTCGGCTCATTAATTCAAAGTTGTCTCGCGTTTGTCCTAACGTTAAACAAGCGACCGATTTACGATGCAGTCAAATAGTGTGAGTATAAAATCGGTTTATGGTTATCTCTTTGTCTTTTACTGAACACACGGTTAACGACGACGAAAAGAGATTGAAAATGAATACGTCGCGATGGATCAAAATACATACGACCCTCGAGAAACCACGTCGAGTGTTCCAGAGAGACTTGTGAATATATTAAAAGATAATGGGAATATGTTAAAAAAAAAATTAAAAAAAAAAAAACACGTGTAAAATAAAGTATATATCAGTGTTTTATGGCGTGTACACTTCCCATTTCTACCAACAGTTTAGTATGATGAACGAACAATACACTTTAATATCTGTATTACGAGTAGAATAATTATTATTTTCGCAATAAGTAGTTATTTATCTTCTTTTTGACATATTTTTACAGTGTATGTTGATTCGCAGTGAAAAAAACTCATTTCAGTATGATTTACATGAAAAACATACTATATGATATTCATACAGGGTCAATAAGTTAGGCATCGTAAAACGAATGAGATGGTCGAACGACAGTCTCAATTCTAATAGATAGGAGGCAAATAAAAGTTTGGGAGGGAATCCATTATCGATAATAGTTATTGTGCGAAGTCCGGGAGACTAGTTTCTGACACGTCATTCGTTGTGTATATCTGTGTAGTGGGTTATCTTGAACATTAGATCTTGTAGCATTTTTGATTTAATGTTGAAATAATGGAATCAAAATATTGTACATAAGATGAATTATTAAACTATGATTTTCATTCATTTACGTATGATGAAAAATGTAAATTAAAAAACAAAAAGCCTACTCCATATTTATTGATTGAATATAAAGACGGAAAATTTACCAGTATATTTCAAAATAGTTGCTCTGATAAATTTACATAGCTTAGTAGTTATAATAATCGCAAAAAATTTTTTTTGTTTCATTTGTGTATTTTTTCGAGGTGAAAAAGAATGGAGTTTTGATGGGATATCAACTATAAAAAATATAATAAGAATAGCAGAAAACCATGCTATTTCGAAAACACACTAGAAAAATCAAGAACAATTTCATCTTTTGGAAAAAATTTGTATTGAAAATGTCATTTCAGATTAATATTAATATTTATATTAATTTGCTTGTCATTTTATCAGTTTTAATTTATATCTATGAAATCTATATTTATAAAAAAAATATTAACTAATTAAAGTTTGAATTGAATTTCTATATACTTAATATATATATTAACCTATCACAATATTGTCAACAAGAAACTATGAACAATACATTTTTCAGTATCTAGTTAAAATTAAAAATTTAGAATGGAGTTGAATAATTTGCTATCAAAAATTTAATAACCAATTGTTACATAAAAATTAAGTCTCCTTGTAAATTTTATTCACGCACCGCTACTGTATACAAGTGCTCTCTGGGTCGAATTAGAAATATGTTCGAATGTTCTATGATAAATAAAGAATGACTATTCTTTGATTATTTGACTTTGATGATTGGCTTGATGAATAATCACAGTTTAGGAAATCGTTGTAAGTATTGAGCAATTATTTCACGAAGTACGTAAGAGAATGTACATAGAACTGCGCATGAAAATCAACCTAAAGAAATTTACATTTTCACTTTATCTGTGTAAATAAAACGTTTACTCACCAATACAATTGGCCAAACGGAAAGTTTTACTCTTTTCCCGATAAAAACTTGGATGATATTCATAGCAAATTGAATTAAAAATAAAAAATAAATAAATAAATGTTTCCATGTATCTTATATTTTGATAAAAATTGCTAGGAACAATTTAATCATAACACCACTCATGTACCAGTGTTTATTAAAGTGCAGAATAATGTTCCAAAATAAAGTGGCTTTGTTCCAAAATTCTTTGATTACGGCCAGAGATGTTGGAATTTCACGCAATAATCTCATAGGTTGTTACTTGGCAATTTATTACGTTAACAGCGTGGGTCGGTTTTTTTCTTAGTAGTAATTGTGGAGGAATTACTTTATTTAGCGAAAATTAAAATATAAATTATGATTATTTGATTTTTATATAGGTTGTTATAAGAACACATAACTTTGGTAAGTATAGTCGTCGGGCAGTTTCGTTCGATATGTTCCAATGGTTGATTAAATTTATAATTAAAAAATAATGCTGTACCTTAATCGATATTTCTATAATTTTAAATGTTATTACTTAGTATTCTAATTGTTTTGGTTTTTTTTTTCAGCAGTTATGCAGTTTTTATGACTTATGGCTGTCTTTTTTTTTTTAATAAGTAAATCAATGTTCAAGAGATAATTGTTACTTTTTTTTTTCATTCATGAAAAATTTATTCCAAAACACGCAATAACTCACTTTAAAGCATAAGCAATAAATAACTTAACTTAACCGAATGAAAATAAAAATAATGTTATAAAAAATAGTAATTTACTATTGTTTAAAGAAAATAACAGCGAAACCTTAAAACGAATTCGCAGGTTAATTATTTCTTATGATTTAATTGCATAAAATTTAAAATAAAAATTGTATATTCTCTCGAATGCCGTATTGTAAAATCTAGAATAATGTTGTCTGCACATTAAAAACCCTACGAAGTTTGAAGTGTATAATTTAAATTTTTCTTAAATCGCAAAATCTCGAATCTTTATTTCTAATTCGTGACTCAGTACATACGTTTTATTTTTGGGGGAGGGAGGAATTCTACTCCTACAAAAACTAGTGATATCGCGTGTGTGCCTGTAAAAATAAAAATAAAACCATTCGTGTCATTACAATGTCAAAAAAAAAAAAAAAAGGTTGGTAGTCGATTCGATAAAAATGTTCATATATTTATTCCTACTTCAATACACCTATATTAGTCGGTATGCACATATAATAATATGTAAATATGTATTTGTTATATTATATACCCTTAATTTATCCAAAAATGCCGTGACCATTTGGTTATAATTAGTACTCACTCGGGGCAAAAGTACCCGGTTTCGGGTGTATTATTCAAAATTATACCTGTATTGACTTCCATAATGTAATCTAAAATTAAATTGCTTGACCTAAACGATTAATTATCTTATATGTGTGTATATATATATAAATGTGTGAGTTTATGATGCGGACTTGCTATTAAAAATATTATACAATATATAAGTCACCAGTAAAAACAATGGTCAATCGAATTAATTAATAAAAAAATAGCATCCTCGTTTGGTCCGAAATACTAACCCCTTTTCCACGAGTTTGAAGAACGTAATGTATTTTTATCACGAATAGTCCAATTAGAATAACAGAACCATCAAGATAAACATTTTTCGAATATGTTGGAACCTACTTAATTTTCATACACGAACTACATACCATACTATGATAAGAGATAAAATAATAATTGTTGAAAAACTACTCGTGTAATTTGGTGTTTTGCATTCGCGGGTAATAACATTCGTAATATTTTAATATTATTAACAGCCACCGACAGGCATTTAATTTCTGATGGCTGCATACGTTTTAAATATAATTCAACACCATATTTACATATTTTGTGGTTAATTAGTTGTTTTAAAATTCCAATCATAATTAAAAACAGGTAACACATTAATTGTTTTGCGTACAATTTATTAACGCCGAGTAACCTTTAAAACCTACTTAATTTACAACACCTTTTAAATAAATATATTTTATAGCTAATTTGTATTAAATTTTATACAAAAGTCGACCATCATTAGAAATATGTTTTAAATATTTTTAGGTTCTACCTCAACACACAATTTAGAACACAAAAAGTTATTAGGTTTTGAAAATCACGAGATCTTAAGACGGCATTTCTCTCTAGTTGTCTATTTCATCATTTATGCATTACAAGTGTTATGTGATTGTGTTTAGTAACAGAAGATGTGAAATTTTCGAGACCACTGGACGAGATTTTCTACTGAAGTTGGAATAAAATATATTACAAAACTTTTGAAATATTTGATACAAGTAATATTGCATTGATAAATTATATACGGATTTTGTCATAAAAAAATGTATTATTATTAAATTTATTCAATTATACTGTTCAAATTTAACTAACGTAACACACTTTTTTGTACAAGTATAGATTGCCTAGATGGATTTAACAGTACTATTTTATATACCGACATTATAATCGAAAGAAAATATTTTGTTTTCGAATTAATAATTATAAATTACCATTATTGCATGCGCATTCGTATTAAAACTCCAGCTTTCAAAGTTCAGATAATTACACATAATAAAATTTGTTTTTATTACATTGAGTATACATAATTAATAAATTCATTAGAATTCATTATATTATATAATTGTTTTGCTTTATACATTCAATCCCATGCGTTATAAGGATTTGACAATTCCGAGAGTTTTCAATTATTACAAATTGTTTAAAAATATATGTAATTTATCAACTTTAAACATTCAACAGTGAATGTTTACTTCTTCCAGGTATAAATACTTTCCCCAAAGGTCTTATTGGTAATGTACATTGATGAATTGCGATACATACAATTTGGAAGGTTGCCACATTTTTATCGTTAGGCATATTTTTTATTTCCAACTCATTTATATTAGCTCTATAGGAATGATCTATGTTTATAGAAAGTCAGTTCGAAAAAAATTATTATAAA